CTTTGGATAAAGCCTTCACATCCATCTTCACGCTGTTGGACTTCCCTGTAGTAGTTGACATAGCCATTGCTGTGAAGCGAGAAAAGAGGATTTCAGCTAATGGGACTGCACTAGGATGACACAAGATGTTTGAATAATAACCACAGAGGAAAAAATAACCATGCCTCAGCTTGAAATCTGTGCTGTTCTTGCCTCCATAACTTCTAAGTATTTGACAGTGTAGTAAAGAAAAATATGAAGCCAAGGAATAAAATCTTAGTCATACAGATGTGACCCAACTTCTACATCCCATAACTAGCAGCAAGGAACATTGTCTTTTATTTATTCAGATGTCTGGCTGAGACAAGCAATTGAATAAAGATTAGCTTACAAATCCAGCAGATGTGAGATGATGGGAAGGAAGGGGAGGAGTTAGGAGCATCGTAACATGACTGAGAATGTTCAAAGGAACACAATAACCTAAGTGCCTTGTCCAGGTTTTTTAAGGCGCTCACATCATTTAGGCATTCTTCATAATTTTACTGGGAGGTATACAAAACATGGCAAGCACAGCCGCAATTAAATGCAGGTTCTTAAAACAGGTACCAGAATCCAGAAGGAATGTAACAGTTCATTATTTCATTATTGTATCCAATGCTCCAATAGGTTTATCAAAGTTTTTGAGTGAGAATGTTGTTTGTTCCCCCCCGCCCTGTTTTGTTGCTGCAGCTATTAGTACAACAGAGTCCTTTTTCGGTGGGAGAGTGCAGACAGAGGAAGTGGGGCATCTAGGTACTGCAGCAAATTAAGTTACTATTTTGCCTTGATTTTCTGTTTTATCTTCTTTAAGTAGAAATCTTGTCTTCAGTTGGATAGGTGTATGAAGAATAAAGTAACATAATTTGCCTTGCAAGTGTAAGAAATGTATTGTTTCTACCCAAAATGGCTATTCTAAGAAAGAAGATTCCTTATCAGATGATAGGGAAATATTTTCATGATTATGCATTCATTTATGCATCAGTTCATAGTAGCTGTATTGTGCATAATGGTATATAACCAGTACAGGATGCTTCAATGTAGATAAACACAGGAATTACATGTGTTAGTGAGCATTTACTTGTCTGTAAAACTGCCTTGTTTTATTTGTGTGTGCATTTTCTGCTTGTGTTTCATCTCATTAAATTTATAACAATAGAATGTGCTTAGATTTAATGTCTGCAGTGATTATCTATATGTTAGAGGAATTGCATTATTACGTTAAATGTGTGCTCAGTCTCAGGTCAGTAGCAAATCGGTTCTTTGGAGCCAGTGCTGATTAGTGCAGTCTTCAGCAGCGTTGCAAAGATGGTATTTCTTTATTGAGTCATGCTAAACAGTATCTTGGCTTTTGCTATAAAAAGAGAGAAGAGGGAAAAAGAGGCAGAGAAGGATGCTTTTATGCATATGACATGCAGCCCTGGGGAAAATGCAAATCTGGAATGAAAACTAATTCCTTTCTACTTTGTTGGTTAGCCTGAACTATGTGGAGTAGAGCTGACCAAAAGGAATATGTACAGAAAGGTGCCACAAAAGCAGTACAATTAAAGGGACATTTTAAAAAATAATTTAAAATATTAAATATTTAAAAACAATTCTTCAGACCTTACAGAACAGACCTTATTGCATTATAAATGTGTTTTGATGGGTCTTCCTTGATAGGTGGATAGAGGGGAAAAGGATGATATGGAGTGGCTAGTGGAATGGAAAAGCAATTACATTTCATCAGAAAGATAAAATTCACTGTACTTTCCATCTCAAAAGATTGCTAAATATGATTATATGTAATATAAGCAATTAAACACAATAATATTCAAAAAGGGTTTTTTCCCTACTGTGCTTGTCTTCAGAGAGAGAAAAGAATTGTAGCATCTAAATTGTGGGCATACACATTGTGCATTAAATCAGTTTTGTGTGACTGTGTCTGCTCAAGGACAGTGTAAAGGACGAGGCTGAACATGGCAGTCATCAGTGATTTGCCCTCTGCAACAGGGAGGCATCCATCTCCATGTAACAGCTTTTTAGCCATTTAGGTTAATTGTCTTTACAAGATATTTCCAATATGCTCTTGGCAGCTCCTGAGTTCAAATAGCTCACTTTTCTAGATCTTTTAATAATGCCATCTTTATGAAATGTCAAGCTGAACCTAACCAAAATGATCTTAAAAATACAAATGTCATGTAATGGGTCTGTGAAATAAATGCAACACAAAGTGATAATGCTGGAATATCTTCAGACTCAGAAGGCAATCATGGTGTGTATGTGATATCTGGATAAATGTTTAGAATTTTGTTACAGACCATTTGAAAGGTAAATGCACAACGTCTATACCACTAACTTTATGATCAAATATATAAACTGAAATGAATATATTATGGAGTTCCATCTTTTAAGTAATTATTGATAATGTAAAATAACTAAAATAATTTTATATTACAGCTTTCTATTGTTTATAGGAATGCAGTATTTAATGTTTTATGCTGACAGGCATTCCTTAGTTCCAGATGGCATTTGGGAATTATGTAGGTTGTCTAATCATCAATAAGTGGCTTATATGGAGAAGTAATTAATGCCATGATTATTTTCCTTATGAGTCAGCAGGTGTGTCATATGCATAATTTCTAGTGCGGAAAAACCCAAAATGGCTTCTGCTCTGCTATATATTTTACAGAAAGGAAGATGCTGAAAAAGGATTCTTTTTTATTATGTTGTGATTTGTGCTGTGAGTGTATTCAGAATATAATTAAAAGGGAAAGGATTTTACCTGAAGGTTTAAAAACCCTGAAAATTTTTCTGGAACATTAATACTCTTTGTAGCTGATTTTTGCATTGTATTTCAAAGAAAGCAATCATCCAGTTTATTTAAAACACTGACCAAATATCAGAGAGAAAATAAAAGTAGCCAAATATGAAGAAAATTAGATATAAAGGATTAAGAAAAGAAATAATTTCTAGTTTTCCATGTAAAATGAATATTTAAGTGTTACCCATTTTGACTTGTCTGTTCAAAATATATTAGCGCCAAGTATCATACCAGTGGAGCAGGCCACCTACCAAGGGAAGGACAGCAAGACATAGTCATTGCAACTATTTAATAATTTCCTATTGTCCTAACAATTTCCTATTCCCTAATGTATATTTATTGTTGTACTATTATTTCATTTACTGTAGTGATCAGCACAGATGATCTTCAGTTAATGTTTGTGCGATATTCAGGTAGCTTTTATGATATATGCAACAGTGCCTTTTAAGATCATGTATTAGGTTTTTTTTAGTAAATATATATAATAAATGTATAGATAACTTCAAATCTATGTATCGTCACCTAGACTTTAATCTACCTTCTTGTAATCCAGAATACGAGTATGTCCAAATTCCATCATCCAGAAATGTACTGAAGTTCTACAAGTGTATGTGTCTGTGTTAGCACACACCTATTTAAAAATGTGTGTCATCTGCCTTTGTACGGATCCACCTTTGAAAGGAGTTACTTTCCTCTTCTTTCCACTCAATTGTCTACCACATGATGAAAGCATAGACAGTTTATAGGAGCTATAACTAAAAATATCTGAAAACATCTGTCACAGAATGACGTTTCTCAGCTTTTCTAAATGTGTAGTTTCTCCGTTAATAAAATTGATCTGAGGTATGGAAGGGTAGTGCACAGTTCTGCGAGGTGACAGGTTTAAGGATCAACCTCTTTGCAGCATGTTACGAATCGCAGTTAGGGCAGTATCATGGCTGAAGAGGATCAATTTGGGAAGCTTTCCAGGAGGTTATTTATCTAGCTTTGGAATATCCTGGGTAGTGGGCTTTATCAACACATGGGTGGAAGGGGCACTTTAAACATTTGTTTTCAGTTTCTAAACCATGGGCCTCTATTCCTTCTAGCCAATGCACTGACAATTCCTGCCAACATCACTTTATACTCTGATAAGCAGGCTGTTTTTCTAAGGGTTGAAAAGCAGTACTCCTGGCACTTATGGTGACCTTCATCCTTTGTGACTCTATACCAAAAGGTAGAAGCCAAATGTCTTTGAAGGCAGTTTATCTCCTTTTAGTTTTGTTTAACTTCCAATATATGTTTCAGTGTTATAAAATGCAGTTACACTGTAAAGGATGCAGAGGACAACTCTACTGTCTGCTTTTCTATACTCACCACTGTGTTTAAACTTCTAGTACGAAGAGACAAAAATAGTAACTATATTTATGAAACTCTCTCATTAAAATAGATTCTTTTCCTGTGAAATATGTGCAGTAGATGCTGCTGTGTGGTGAAGGTCATTTCAGCATTCGTTTAGAAAATGTAAGAGGTGAAATCCTGGACTAAGTGTTGTTGCTGAGCCCTGGTCTCTAAGGAGCTTGTGGTTTCCACGTGAAAGCCTCAGCTTTTTCTTACTCTTTTATCCCAGACACATTATTTCTTCTGCTGTGTGTTTGCTGATATTTTGTTGCTTCAGGGAAATAGTTTCGTGCCTACATTTTAGGTGAACCATTGTGTGATAAATATATAAAACCATAAAATATTAACAAATATAATTCAAGGGAGAGAAGTGCTAGGTTGTTTATAAACATATGCCAAGTTATTGCGCTCTGCTTACAGCTTCACAGAAATGTAGTTCCACTGGCTTCTGTAGCATTGCTTTTGAATTAGGCCAACAGAAAGCGAGCCCAGTATATTTATTTTTATGTAAACTTTGTCCAGTTAAGTTGTCAAAGCTGTGTACCGTAAAACTATTACAAGGTATTATATACATTGGTTTGATGTCAAAAAAACATTTTATGCCTAAATGTTGATTTTTGTCAATCTCTTGTTTCCTATCATCATCTCTTCACATGGGTAAACTGCGGACTTTCCTAAATCGAATGACTTAGCACTTCTGTAGTGTTCTACAGTTCTGAAATACTGTGTGAATATTAATTACGGCACAGAGCAGCCCAGTGAGGAAGGTAGATAAGTAAGTATTATTATCCCTATTTTACAGATGGGGAAGCTGAGGCACAGAGATTAAGTGACTTTCCCAAGGCCACACAGCAAGTCAGTGGCAGAGCCAGGATTAGCGCTTGGGGACTTCCTGGATCCCTCTCCCATGCTTTAAGCAGTAGACCACAGTGTTCACTGGACTCAGCAAGCAACTCATTGCAATAATGGACAGTTCCAAGGACTCGTACCTGGTCAGTGTGTCCACACATTTGTTTGCAGACTGCTGCAGTATGTCAATATGGTTTGAATACCTCAGTCCTAGCAGATTTGTGCAGTATGTAAAATTTCTGAGCTTCATCAACTTCAAATGGGGTGAAAGAAAGAAGCGGTAGAATTCTGACGTAAACGTGGCATGGCTGTGAAAAACATTTAGTTTTCATGCCTTATTCTGATCCTGCTGCAACTGAGGGCAAAACTGCAGTGGATTCACAGCTTTGAGGATGTTAGTGTGGAGGTTGGTGGCTGCTTGGTACGTTAAAAGTCATCCAGAACATGAAGTCTATCTTCCATGACTGTCTTATGGTTAGTCTTGCTTATACTTTCAGTTTCAAACTCGCATTTATTGCAACACTTAATAATTTCATTGTTTTCCTGACATGCTAATAAAAAGCAGAGCATTACCAACTGAAATGAAGTTTCTAGTCTCTAGTCATCATGGGAAAGTGGAGCAGATCTGCCACTATTTTTATTTGTATCACCGTAGCACTTACCTCCAAATGAGATTAAGACCTGATTGCACTAAACTACTAGCGAGCCCTTCCCTCCCTTCTCCCTTTGTCCAAAGTAGTACAGGAATCACAGAAATTAATTCTAGACTAAATGCAGTGTGACTCTTGTACTGGTTAAGTGCAAGGTGGCTTTCATACCACTCCCTGGGAAGTGAGAGTATACAGTGCAAGGCCTGTTTAATTGGACTTTGCTCAGAGTTTAAGTGAGTTGGCAACAACACAATACTCCCAATTAAGCTGTTTTTCCCTGTAAAATTAATGGAATAAACCCACTTCTGAGAATGAGGCAAGGCTGAGACTTGCTGTGACAATACAGGAAGAGGAGGCAGGGAAGAAAAAGATTGCCAGAATCTGAAAATTGAACACATGGGAAAGGAGAAGTCAAAGTGTATGAGCATATTTTGATAAATATTAATGAATTAATTTGTGTTTCGTTTACTTAGATGATCTGTAAAGGCTTTAAACTGTCCAGCAATTTAATGTTTTCCCCATTGTAGAATTTCCTCTAATACTGCTTCCATAAGGCCTTTTCAGGATCAGTAAAATACTGATGGCTATCTCTTATGCTAGAATAGCACTACTTCTGATGTGGCTGTAATACTTGGCCTTTGGCATCCTGCCTAACCGTTCACCCAGAGACATGGAATCTCGCCAGCATGACAAACACACCCAGTTATGTCTAATGGCTTAAAATAATGGATTCATTTTACCTAAGATGATCAAATGGTTTGTGCGAAATTATACTGACCTGGTACATCTTAATAGATTATTAGCTAATTCTAAATGATTGAAAGACAAAACAGTTTCAATAGAAGGCCTTTACTCATTGTCAGATTTTAGTTACATACTATTATCTGTGGGAAAGCTCTAATAAAGATACTGTAACACTCTCAGTCTCTCTCTCTTTAGCAGCCCAGATGCTTGGTGCTGACACATTCCTAGGATTTTTCTATATAAGATAGCTACAGCATGGCAGCTATTTTTAAAAAAGAGAGGAGCCTGAAACAAAAACTTATATCCAGAATGCACGACATCCAGCTCTAGATGTGAACCTTTTTGCCTGGGGCATCTGCTCTTTAAGGAGACGTGCTCACATAGTTTAATTTCGTGTTATATTCTACTGTATTCTATATATAGATCTATATTTAGCATGTAATACTGGTATTCAAATCCCCTTGCTTCAGACTTCCATTAAGATACTGATTTTATATATTGAAATCAAGCAGTTCTAGTTCTAATATCACTTACTAAAACCCTTCCACTAATGACAAGTAAATATATATTCATGATATATTAATTGATGTTTTTGTATAATTCATCCTTTTTTCTTCATCATCATTTACTGGAAACCACTCTAAATCATGTTGTGAAATATAGGCTGTATTTAGCAACTGTTTTTTTTTTTACAATTGTGATGTCAAACTCATAAGAGAAGCCAGTATTTGTTTTAGCACAGCATCAAGTGCTCTGTTGCTGAACTCCCGAAAGATTTCTCTACTTAGGGAAATGTGATTTTTTTTTCTTTTTTTTTTTCATGTCAGAAATGACCAAAATCACTAATTTCTGTAGTTTTTTTAGCCTGAGCACAGTACACTAATTCATCACACATTACATTTACAGTGCAGTAGAGAATACAGTTAAAATGCATGTATGACTACAGTATAAAATTAAACATGAAATATATGTTCCTGAGGAAGAACAGCTTTTCTGTTTTCTGCTATTAGTGTGTGCTATCTGCCTTTATTTTAATCACAGCTTGCTGTTTGTAAAGAAAAGCAAAAGCTTTGTAGTTCACCAGTAAGTGAAGCCAGTTGTTTTCATGGTATTAAAATTTTCTTTCTTATCATATTGTCACTGAGTATAATTCTCTAGCTTTGCCAAAGTATAAGGAGTGTTAGTGCTAATAATTTGGGAATTCTGCATGTAGCTCAGGATCCTGGCCTAAGGACAAAAATACATGTGCAGTCCCTTTCTTCAAGAGTACAAGAATAAAGCTGTCTCAGGCAGACATTTCGTCTCTCATGTCTTTCATTGTCCTGTTGACTCATGTTTTTCTTAGTTCCCAATAACCAGTGTTTACTCATGATCTTGCAGGTTTTAACAGGAGAACTACTTCATGCCAAAGTTAGCTGTAATCATACCTGTTGCATAAGAAATATATTTTAATAAGGAAAATTAAATTCTTAAAAACTTTTCTGTTCCTGAGTAGGAAGAGTAAATACATAAATATTAAAAGCATCTTTGTTTCATAGTGCTATACAATCTTGCCAGTAGTTTCCAAATGAGAAGCAGCTTACCTGTCCTTTTTTCTGTTTTGCAGAGAAATGATGAAGAGGCTGTTGTGGATAGAGGTGGAACTCGCTCCATTCTCAAAACACATTTTGAAAAGGAAGATCTAGAAGGTTAGAGATTATTTTTCTGTGCATTATATTGTCTCTTTCTTGTGAAAGTACTGAAATACAATTCCAATGTGTAAACTTACTGATTTGAGCAGGGATGCAAAAGTGAACAAGAGAGTAGAATCTCATAATTTATTTTAAAAAGAGAAATATTGCTTATTTCTCACAGCAGTGATCAGATACAGGTGATGGTGGAAGGAGTTTGCTAGTTTTCAGTGGTCTATAATCAAGTCCTGTAAACGTGCATGTATGACTTCAGATAAGTCTTTCTACCTTTAAGTTTCCAAATATGTAAATGCAAGCAGGAGTGATGATTTAGTACTTAAATAGTTTCTACACTTGCTTTATAATCCTCATATAGTTGCCTAGCCACATCTTCAGCTGGACAAAAACATTCTGAGTGTCACAGATTGGACAGATACTTGATAATATATACTGCAGAAACCACCTAACAGCACCATGTAGAAGGAGAGAAATTGTGAGAGCTGTTTTATGATATTGGCCTAATAATTCAGATAGTCTCTGAAAGAGTTGCATTTCAGTTTGTTTAGTGGATCCCAAACTTATTCTGGTTACTACTGTACTTACAGTCTTGTATTGAGGTGTGCGACCCCCCAAGTCATAATTATTGGATGAAACTGAATTTCTGTTGCACCTATGATATCCCAACCCTGAGAGAGGAACTTGCTGATTTTAATTGATAGCTTCTTGTGGTGGGACATGGAAGGTTCTTGTCTTTGTCATACGGAGCCACAGGAACTAGCCAAAAAGAAATACTGAGATCTGGGGTGTATTTCAACATCCTACATCTGAAAAGTTACCTGCCTCAGGTCTAGAGAGGTATCTCCATCTGTGCATGAATGTGAGCTTTCTAAATGCCTACCCTGCATCATATTTTTTTTTCCATTTCTCTGTGGCTGTATGAATTTTGCATTCTCTGCTGCATAATGGCTGTATTGGTGATTTCGTGTGAATGTCAACATGATACACAGCAACTCCCTGTTACCGTTCCACTCAGCAGTGTCTCAAAAAGCATACGTAACTGCGTTTTTAAAGGGGCCTGGCTGCATTAGCCTGTATGAGGTAGTCTCTCACAGAAGGATGTAAAATGTCAAACAGTGTAGCATGTATGAGGTAGGTAGCAATCTGCTCTGTCTGGGGCATGTCTGAGCACATGCAAGGGTAGGTCTCAGGTACGATGTTTCCAGGGTGGCATTTAGGGTTTTGGTGTCTCCAGGGGTAAATGGCTGCCAGTGGATCAGGCTGGCAATGACAATTTTGGACTTAGGCACCCAACGCCCTTTTTTGAATCTTGCACTTAGTCTTCTGTAGTCTTCAGTCCCTTGGACAAAGTGAAACCATTGTATCTGGTGTCCTTAGAGAAACACCTGATAGAAGAATGGGGGCTCCTTGCCTTCCCTTCTCCATGATACTGATTCACAGAGTTTTTTGTGGGGTGAGCCTACCCCAAAAAAAGTCCTTTTGCTGAGTCATTTTACTGATGATGGTAAGGTAGCATTTTAAAAACAGACAACTTTCTGGAGAATGACATCTTTAAGCTTAGTCACATGGGTAGACTGAAGTGTTAAGGCAATCAGAATTACTATGCTGTTCCACATGTGATTACATGGAACCTAAAGCCTCATCTCAAAATTTGAACAAGTATATAATTTAAAAACTGTATTTAATTACTATTTTTCCCCACCATCCTATATGTGTAAAGTTGCTCCTGTGAAATGCCAGTGAAAATATTCTTTCAAAAAATCTGCTCCTAGGATGTTATGAATAGAAATCAGAACATGACAGTGACACCCCTCCCAATCTTTCCATTAATTTGTTTAGAACACTAAAAAATTCTGTAGTTAGCCAATGAATGTGCTTTTCTTTAAAATCACACTGTTTCATAATGTTCTAAGAAAACAATTATTCAGTGTAGACTCCTTCATAATGCAATTGTCTTTCTCAGATAAATTTCATGTCCACTCGCAGGTCAGTGTGTCTTTAAATATACAGTCACTGCATCTAGAAATACCAAGTGACATAAAAAGATTTGAAGAGATTGTAAATTTTAATATCCAGGTGCTGTTAATAGCATGTCCACTTGTTTTGCAGCACATCTAGGCACTTTTCCATCTGGAAACAGCGGATATGACTCAAATGTCACTATCTTATCCAATGTACATTGTGTTGTGTTTTGCTGAAAACGTACCTTTTTCTTAATGACATAACAACTATAAAATATGGAATTATATAATCAGGCACTAATTGCATAGCTTAGTAAAAATCCTATAATTAATTAATATGTATTATGTAATTAGCTCTTTGACAGACATTTAATTAGGTTTATGTTTTAAAAATGTAAATAGCTAGTTACTGAATATTCTAGCAAAGACTAGTTTTGACAGGGTTTAAATTTCAATAGCACCGTATCAGCAACATTTCAAAAACTGCAATTCATATGAAGAGCTAAAGGTTGTTTAAATCTGGAAGTCAGTATGCAGTTTCTTCTGATTGAATCTTAAAATTGTAAGTATTTTGCTATTTTTTAATTTTAGACTGTCAGCATTCAAATGTCAGAAATACTGATTTAAATGTGTACTAAAATTTCCATCTGAAATTTCTTGGCCCAACAAATACTTGTATTTGCATATTTTGGGGCAGCCATTGTGCAAATATATTGCAAGTACATATCTTGCTGAAAGCATGAAAATATCATAGTGATTAATGCTGCCTGGAAGAACAGCCACAAGACCAGAATTTTGCCTCACTCTCTCTAGATCAGTGTTTTCTTTCCCTGAGCAGTATGGTAAAAAATTGGGGAGATAGGACAGCAACTGCAGTACTTAGGGGAACAGAAGAGATGTGGTGCTCATCTTAGTGCCAGTAATGATACTTGCAGTGTGCACTTCAAATTGTATCTTTTTACTTAAGCTTTGTAGTGCTTCAGAGGTGGATTGTTTGCAGAGCTTTGGCATTCAGATTTTCGGCATGAATGATTTTTCAATGAAATTGTTTTTCCTGAGTTGTAAGGTCAAGATCAGTCACTAATAACCAAACAGGTCATTGTCTGACTGTTGCATTAATGAAGGGACAGAGAAATAATTTCTAAAATCAAAACAAGAAGCCTATCTCCCCTGGTTATAATCACATATTTTGCATGTTATTTTTCAATGTGCGTACAGACAAAATTCCTACTGAAATAAATATGCTTTTATTTTTATTAGTGGTGGAATTCCTAAATGAGAATTGGGCACTGATTCTGGATACTAAAGTACTTAATTGCAAAAGGACAGGTTGTACATGTACCTGTACTGGGAGCAGATAGGCAAGTTTTCATAAACAGATGTGTACATCAACAAACAGTTGCACTCAGCTTACTCCCTGTTGTTGTCTCTGGCTGTCTGCTGTTGCTTCAATCCATGTTCAGCAGTAACAGTTTTCTGACAAAATGGATATACCTACTTTTCCTGTCATGAATTAAAAATATTTGGATTGATCTGTGCGTGCCTGGAGATCTCGGATTCTCTCAGATCACATGCTGAGACCTTTGGACTATATAGATATGCAAAAGGATTGGCACTAAGCACACTCTTACTAAGGTCTTCTGCTTATGCCCACCATATCAGCTGAGGGTGAAAATGACTGTTCCATGGCTGTCCTTGCTAGAGGTGGTTCCCTGCCATATCCTGGATTTTTGTGGCAGGATTTCAGAACTGCTGTGAGTATTACTGTGGCCTGGTTTGGGAAGCAGCTTCAATAGGGAGTTGGCTGGAGAATAGGATTGTTAGGTGGAGGTCCAGGCATGAATCAGGGATGAATTCTGGCCCTGTTGGAGGAAATTGCAAAATGAGCCTTGATTCAGAGAAGTCAAGATTTTGCTTAAGCTTTTTATATTTCGTGTATTTTATCTGCCTAAGTGTGGGAAAAATTTGTCTCATGGGGAAATCAAGTCTGCCGCTTTTCATGTGTCTCGGGACGCATAAAACACTGTATCCAGTATATAAATCACTGTACGTCAGAATATGTATTCTGATGCTTTTCACAGAATTTAGATTATATGGACTGATTACTGAAAGTCGCAAAAGACTTCAAGCTAAATTAGGAAACATCAGTAGTACAACCCTGAATATGATACGGAAGCTGAGGATTTAAAGTTAATAAACCAAAAATTAATTTGAAATGTTAGTGTGCTTGTAGAGATGTTTTGTATTTAAGAACCTGCATGAAGATTAATTTTCATAGTAGACGTCCTGCTAACTAAAAAAAGAGAAACCGCAGAGTATTTAATTATTCTCTTTTAAAAATAGTTATTTTAGTTGTTGTTTCTTTTTAGATTTGTTCCAGCTTGTGACAGTAATTTAAAAATTATTTTAATGAAATTCTGATTAAATACAGTTAGGGTTAATATATGAAAAACTCATTGTGATTGAACTCTAATCTCCATATATTGTTTAGTAAAAATCTGAGTGGCTCCAGATAATGAAATAGACTTTTATTCTCAGAGACTGGCCATTTTTTATAGAAATAACATATTAGTGGACCTGTCTGCCACTGACATTATTTACCTGAAAATTAATAGGGTGTAGCTGCTCGTAGGACTGAAAAAACATAAATCTTATTAACCTGCTGGCCTTGATTCAGCCTTGCCTCCCTGTAGAAGCAAGTCTGCTACTAATTCTGCTTGGCCAGACAGGAACATTGACCAAGGTCTCCTCTCCCTTTGGCTACCAGGATGCTACAGCCTGTTGCAAATAATTTGCTACCCCATCAGTACAGATCCCCTGCTCCAAGCTTCCTTGCCTCTGCTTCCCTTGGGTGCCCCGTTCGTCCTGATGTTCACTCTGACCTACCTCATGCTCCTTATGGCAATGTTCATTAGAGGGGTAGACTTAGAGGGGTAGAATATAAGTTGTGGAAGTAAAGAGTTGGAGAGAGATTCAGGTTAGTCTATGCCTGTAATGTTGGATGTGGTTGTATAGCTGTAGGTCTCTACAAAAGGTCTC